TGTTTTTTCCGCTTTCTTTTTTTTTTTTTTTTTTTTTTTTTTTTTCTCCTCCTTTCCGGGTGCTACAGGTGATCGAGGTAAATTTCATACTCCTGACTCGTTTTTCCACGCTGATTTCCCCAGTGGCCAAATCGGAGCCAAAATCCTGGCCAAACGGCCGGAAAATACGGCCGAAAGCCAGCGGCGCCGCCGCGCCCCTCATCGGTTTTTGCCTCCGATGAGGCCCTTCCCGACCTCCGTTTAATGCAATTTTTATATCACCGTGATCACCATTTTTTTCTCTACAGGTTGATCGGAGCCGAATCACCAAAACACGAACTTCACCGGAGAGCCACCGCACCCGAGAGCACCGCCGCCGGTAAGCTTCGGTTTTTCGTAAATTTTCGGCCCCCCGAGGGCCGTAGAGTTGTTTTATCGCAGGAACCAATGCGAGTGTGGCCGAATTCGACCAGAAACGGCCGAAAACGGCCAACCCGAGGCGAACCGCCGCCGCTTGCGGCGGCGCCGTCGCCGGAGCATGGCGGAGCCGCCGTGCCGGAGTTGCGATATTGGCCGAAAGGGGCCCTGGGCCTAATTTGGGATTTTTTAGAACACGTGCAGGTACCAGTAGTGCGTTTCAGTTCCCCGGAAAAAATTTAGAAAAAATTAGGGACAGCCTGCAAGCGCACTGTGAAGCCGTGTTCGGACCCCGAAACGGGTAAGGACCCCTCACCCTATTTCCTATCACGGTTTTAAAGTTCAATAAATGATAAAACGGTATTTCATGAATCAACGAATGTGTGAAATTGCTTAAGGTCGCTAATGGAGCCCGAGTCTAGTGTGTTTGTCGGTTAACTGTTATTTGGCCTGTTTTACAGTTTTAAATACAGCATGAGGTTCGATGTTTTCATTTTATAGTTTCGTGTGCATATTTTACTGTTTTATTGATTATGGATTGAATGACCGAGATATTGATGCTGTATGTTGTCTGTTTGGCATAAATTATCGTTTTGTTTGTTTGTATGTGATTGATAATGCTGACTGAGGGAAAAGGAGAATGAAAGATTATGTAAATGGAAATTGTATAATGTGGTCAGCCTGACTAGATATCCTGGGAGATGGTGGACGAACCGGGTCCGTAGGGAACCCTACCGGGATTGTGGTCTCCCATACCGGACGGGGTATGGAGATCTTATGTGTTTTGACGCCCATACCGGACGGGGTATGGGGACGGCCCGTTTCACCCTCATACCGGACGGGGTAATGAGGTCTATGGTTTGGCGCCCATACCGGACGGGGTATGGGGACGGCCTTGGAATATGATTTCAAGTGTTAAGGGTTAACGGGTAGCGGGAGCCCTATGGATCCCCATGGATACTAGTGGGCTGGTAAATGAGGAAAATATGTTGTGTAACGATTGAATTACGAAAAGCTTGATAGGTATTATGTTATACAGTTTATATATATGGTTTCATGATGATGATGATGTTATTGCTTTCGTATATTGTTTTATGAATTTCACCGAGGTAAGTGAATGGTAAAGGTTTTATTATTAATAAAAGGATTTGTTGTAAATTATGCTCCATTGGTCTTTTTGTGTTTTCTACCCACCTTTACCTCCGTGACGGTGAGATATCGTGATGTCTTTACTGGGTTAGTGTAGCTCATTCCTTATTTAATCATTTCAGATCAAGAGGACATCGTTCCCGAGCCGGTTCCGCAGGAGGACGACGAAGGGGACGCCTAAAGACTCCATAGTCATATTCGTAGCTTTTACTTTCAAGTTTCTCCTTTAGGTAGTTTGATCTTTTATATTTTGTGAGCACGTTTTTTGTTTTAGTGTAAGGGATGTTATTCAAATTTTGACTTCGCTTCCGCATTTGATATTTTTAATATACATTTCATTATGAATTTCTGGGGGTGTTACATATTTTTTTTGTTCAAACTGTTTTATTTTCTTATTTTAGTATATTTGACTCGTTAATAATTTTTATAGTCTCTCTAAGTAGGAGGATAGGTAGTGTAGGATCGGTGCCCATACACTATGAGGAATGTGATTGGAGTTTATTTCATCTAAAGAAAAGTAGTTGTCTAATAGGGTTAAAGGAGTCGAGATGTATGCACAAATTTAATGATTATTCTTTGATCACCCATTGAAGAACAAGACGTTTCGTAGTGTAATTGAATCGAAATTGTAAAGAAGAGATCGAAGATCGAATGAAATTTTGAAAGTTTGTTGCGAGTTGAGAAATAACGAAAGAGGAATACTGAATAGTTACAATTATCAAGTAGGAGAGAGAAGAACGACGCTAACTAAAATGCATTGCAATTCAAAGATCTTGAAGCCTAATCATCATAAGGATAGTTAAAAAACAATTAGTTGATTTTTTAAGTCAGAGACAATTTATAACTTAGAAACATAAAAATTATAGGAAGAGAGCTCAAAATGAGGGTTAGTATTTTTTTTTTTTTCAACTTTTGATTTCTGTTTATTAAAAGAAGAGAAAAGATATTCCGGGTAATTTTTTATAATGTCATTTATAATTTAGTCAACACTAAAAAATCACATTAAATCGAACTGAATATAAAAGAGTATAGTATACCATATTGTTAAAAACGAAAAGTAAATCATGATATTAAAAAAAATAAATAAATTAGCGTGTCTAAAGTGAAAAGAAATTATAAAATTAAAAAAAAAAAAGAAGATCAGGGTATTAAAAAAAATAAATTAAATTAAAATTATATATACAGAAACCTTTAAAATTATTTTCAACATGATATCAGAACTTTAGAATAAGAAATTTTTAAATCTTTTACAAATTTTATTTGACCTTTATTGTCGAGATAAAGAAACTTACGGAGCTAGTCTTTGTAGCCGGCCATCACTCACGATATATTTTTTTTTTAATTTTAATATTTAATTTTATTTTTAGAAATTAAAAATTAAGAAAACTTTGAAAGTATAATTTTCATTTAAATACAAAACAATTACACCAAATTATATCCTACTATTTTAGTGCTTTTCTTCTTTTCCATTTACTGCCAAGAGGAGAGTCTCTTGGGCCTGGGCTCTGGAATTCTCCACTACATTTTATCTCGCCGGACATTTTCAGGAGGTGGGAGGTTTGATTTCTGGAAAGGACAGAGTTAAAAAGCGATCACATTTGATGTGGTTTTCACTGATGTTATAGAGGTGAAAAATTTTGCTTGATTTTGTTGATTTTCCTCTCTTTTCTTGTCAACCAAACAAGGGATTTCTCTGAGGTTTCTGTTGGCGGCGGTTGACATGACATCGTTAGTGCAGAAAATTCTGGAAGAAGAGCTCATGGAGGCTGCAAATGCGCTTCTACCCCTTCATACTCTTGAACAACTCCGTTTTTCGCTTGATGTAAGCTTTTCTTCCTCCTATGACTGAGTTTTTTCTGCATTTGTATATAGATATAGTTTTTATACAGCTTTTGCTTATATTTTCAGTTACACTGCAGTTTTCTCCAGTGGGAAATGTAATGTAATTCCTCTAAGTCTACCGAATATGTCCAGTTCGTGTTTTATCTCTAAATCTCAACTCCACAGACTGATTTCTAAGCGTGCTTCTACTCTAGGATACCAAGACTAACAGAGATTATCCAATGGGCTTCTGTCCAGTATGCGGATTTGATAGTTGCATAGTTGAATTGGTGTGCTAACTTTACTGGATTCCTTATGTAGCCGAGTTGAGGTTATGTTCAAATATTTTGTAAGGTTAGGTGGTAAAGAATATGTTAGATAGTTGAATGTTGAGTGGGTTTTATTGATTGGAGAAGGGAGGTGCAGAAGTTGCAATATTCTTGGTGTTTATTATTGTAGGCTAATGATTGACTACTTTTGTGGTTGCCATTACAAATTCATTCCATACCTATTTGCAGGCGTTCTGCTATAATTTACTGCCACTTAATGGGTTTGACACAATTTAGTAGTTCTTTTGGAATCTCTCCGATATTTCCTTTGTGAGCTATGCTTAAATTGCTTGCATCTATATCTGTCTCTGTTATGTAATTGTCATATAAATGAATGTTCTCATCTCTTGTTTACCTACTCATTCTCTAGAAACTAGACAAATGCTTGGCTTGGGTTGGACAACCACAGGTCAAATCTTTCCAAGCTGCTCTGGATCATGCAGGGAAAGTACTAACAGCCAAAGAACTTTTGAATCATGCGGACGTGGATGTGAGGGTTTCTGTTGCATCATGCATCAATCACATTCTTAGAATAACTGCTCCAGATGCTCCTTTTGATGATGAGCGACTGAAGGTAA